GGCAGCGACACCGTCAACACATGAACCGTGCAAAATATTGATCCAAAATCGACAAAACTTGGCATAAATTCCGTCCAAGTACCAAAACAAGCTTCCTTGAGCATTAATTATCGATGAAATAATGCCTTATGCTCAACTTACCATAATCGAGCAGTATTGCACCGTAACAAAGAATTGCTCAAAAAATCGTATCGGAAACGGTGAAACTCAACAATAATAGTCCACAAACGCACAATTATGCATGAATAAACATCAAAAAATATTTGAGAAGTGATTTACAAAGAGTTTGTACTTTCCGGGCAGCACTTGGACCAATATCAAACAAAAATGAGTTCAATAACTTATAAACGGATACAAAAACGTTTACCGATTCAAGTATGACCGCTTAGAAATAACAAACAATTTGTAACGATAAAATTCACATTCAAGCAATGATTTCAAACCACAAATAACAAAATTCAAGAGTTAATGCAATTGATCGGATTTGAGGATTTTTATGTTGAAAAAATGGAATTCATTAACAAATCGACACGAAAATTGCATTAACTCGTGAAAACACAATTAAATCTCAACAAAACTTCATAATCGATATGTAGATCTAAAATTCGGTATCCAAAAATTACCAACAATTTTACCGAATAAAATCAAGATCCAAATCGATTATGTTCATCAATTAACCAATTCCATACTTCAACATTATTGTAAATTCAAGAATCAAGTTAATTCAATAATTAAATCTCAAGAATCACAATCCAATATTCAATTCAATTTCATGTAATAATCAATTTCTCAAACCACCAAATTACTTATGCAAATAAATAATTAAGTGCAAGAGAATTCAAGAATTACTGAAAATTGAATCGGAGAAGATAAAGTTACCGGAAAACTTGATCAGAGAAGGTGTTATTGTCGGAATTCATGATCGGAAGAGAGAGAAGCCCGAGTGAGGAAGCAAGGCGCAACAGAAAGGGTCTTCATAAGAGACAGAGGTGCGCTAGAGAAGGAGTCCAGCCGGTGGCAGCACAAGGCGGAGGGTGACTGGCGATAGGAGGTGCGCGGTTGAGCTTGCGGAGGAGGGAGGATTGCTCGCGGAAAATGAGAGGGAATAAATGAGATTTGAAGTTTTTTGAATTTTTGTGTTGAATGTGTTCTTGGGAAGCTTGAAGAGTGTTTAGAGGATTTGAGAGAGAAATGTGTTTTGATTTGGTGAGATGTGAAATTATGAGTGTGATTGTGTTTGAATTTTGAATTTCAAATATATATAGTTTGGCTCCAAAACTGAGTTTTTCAACTTATTTCATGCATTGTCGATATCGAAACCCTGAGCTCATGATAATCAATGTGGATTCTTGACAGTGAACTTGAAACAAAGTTGCTGATGACGAAATTTGTGACGCGGCGCCGAAAGAATCATTTCGTTATAATAAAAATCGAGCATGTTATGTTGCCCTGAATGGCGAGAAATACAGTGTAAAAATTCACAATGCATAATTTCTAGCTAATTTTGTGTATGAAGTGTGAACAAACCACGTGCTCATGATGTTCGGTGTAAAATATCGATGTGAACTCTGAAGCAAAATCATTGGCAACGAAATGTGTGATGTCGTGCCGAAATAATCACACTGGTACGACAAAAATCCACCAAGTTATAATTTTTCAAATAGCGAGAAACAATAGACTTATTTCGCCGTATTGAAAATTTCAGCTTATTTTCATGCGCACTTTCGAATGCGAGCCATAAACCGAAGCCTTCGGAGCACAATCTGAACTCGGGCTCTAAAGCAAAGTTGTAGCTGAAAAAATATGTGATCTCAAACTTCAGAAATTGTCCCGATACGATAAAAATTAAGAGAGTTACAATTTTTATAATATCGAGAAATAGTCTGATAGAAAACCATTTTGGCATGCAATTTTCTCTGGTAATTGGATATTTTGAAGATCTTCTACAAAGAATTAACTCCTGACCTGAACATACGGATTGAAGATAAAATCAAAATGGTTTTTTCTCCCAAAGAACCATCCAATAACGTTGAACCGGGCGAAAGTTATGAATTTTTGAACATCTGAAAAACAACGGTTCAACATACTATTTTCACTATTTTTTACCGTATAGCTTCTGAGTACTCGCACATTCAGAGATCTTCCTCAATGAATTGGCTTCCGAGCTGAACATGAAACTTGAAGGAAATAACAAGATAGTTCAAATGTTCTAGGAGGAATTCAAAGATGATTTTCCGGTCAGAAGTTACAAATTTTTAAGCATCTGAAAACCAGTAAAACGGTAAATCCACTATATAACGCATTTCAAGTATTTTGCACTTTAGAAAATCTTCTTCACAAGATTAGCATTCGATCTGAACAGATGAAATGGAGAAGACCTCAATACAATTCTAAAGACTGAATAATCATCCCTAAAACATTTCTTGGCCTCAAGTTATATATTTATGAGCTTGAAACGCACAATACTGAATTTCTATCTGCACTGTCTCAAATTGGTTGAAACACTCAACTTTCTGCATGATTCAGAGTGTGTGTTGGTGTAAGCCCTAGATGCCAATACTTTTGGTACTTGTATCGAATTATTTATTAATAATAAAATGCATTTATTTATTATGTTTTCTTTTCAAAATAATAATGTTCCTAAAATAGTTCGTCTGTTTAATGAAATGTGAAGTGTGACTTAATCATGAGATCTCATTAAATATAAGAACACTATTCTTAAAGTATTTGTAGTTGAGCTTTATTGCAAAGTGGGATAAGATTAAAGCATTGAGATTATTATGAAGATAAATTTATGATCACACCTCATGGATCATGGATAAGGAGTTATCATGTCTTGACATAGATATGAATATTAGGAGTAATATTTATACTGGATTGACCCGCTATGAGAATACTACATAAAATGTTATGCAAGGTGTCATAAGTTATTCTTATGGTGATAATGGTGTATAACACCCTTCGACCTGAAACCACTATGGACCTTAAATGTAGAGTTAAGTACTTTATTGATGATCAAACGTTATCCGTAACTGGATGACCATAAAGATAGTTGATGGGTACTTTATAAAGCATGCTGAGGGACATGAGTGATCTAAATGGAATTTTCCCATCCTGTATAACATGATAAATGTCTAACGGCCCAATATTGAACTGGACAAGGGTGACACAATCTATTCCTTGTATTCAATATAGACATAAAGTCAAAAGGGTAATTATACACACAAATATTATCACGAGAAGGTTTTGTCAGATCACATGACATTTTCGTGACTTGGGTAGCAGTGATGTGTTGCTAGATACCGCTCACTGTTTATTATGTTAAATTTGTGATTTAATATAATTTCCAATGTCACAAAAACCTACAGGATACACATAAGAACAGGTTGATGAGAGATAAAGTAAATAAGGAACACCGTAAGGTACGGTGCACTTAAGTGAATTGTAGAACACAATAAGGTACGATACACTTAAGTGAAATATGGAATATGGTAAGGTACCACGCGCTTAAGTGATATGCGATATATCATAAGGTATGATACCCGCAGGCTTAATTGGGCTTTTAGCTTGAAGCCTTAATTGGGCTTTTAGCTTGCAGCCCACATTAGTGGTTCTATAAATAGAACCCTTGTGCTGAAGCATTTCACATGATGAAATTTCGGTCTTGAAACCCTAGCCGTATTTTGTCTCACTCTCTCACTCAAAGTTTTCATTCGTAAGCAGCTAGAATTGTGATCGGAAGCGATCTGTTCATGTGGACTGAGTAGAGACGTTTCTATTAATCAACCTTTGTGATCACAACATCAAAGGTATGAATCACTACAAGAGGTAATGATTTCTATCACTGGTCATGTCCATTCGTAAGGATCACTAAAGGAAAATTTTAATTTTCTGTTGCGTTTTGGATCACAATTTTCCTTCAGTTAGAACACATAAGAGTTTCATATGATGATGAATTGCTTGATTATTGATTGGATAGATTATAAACCATGCGGAGTGCATTTAAAATCCGAAAACCTCGAGTTCTGCTTCATAATGCCGCTTATTAGAACAATAAACTTTTGCAGTTCTTTGTTGCAGAGAAATGTCTTGATTCCATGAATATCACAATGATATATATATATATATATATATATATATATATATATATATATATATATATATATATATATATATATATATATATATATATATATATATATATATATATATATATATATATATATATATATATATATATATATATATATATATATATATATATATATATATATATATATATATATATATATATATATATATATATATATATATATATATATATATATATATATATATATGCATATGATGAAAAAGTATAATCCAGTTAGGGTTGAAAGTAAAGAGGGAAAATTTTGGGGTACAACAAGGTTTTCAATTCTTGTGAGCCTCGACAAGGCTCGAACTGTACGGGGATTTCTTACCTCCTAGAGTTCCAAACTAAGGTTTTCATTGGGCTAAGAGGTGTTGGCCTTTCAATACCACCTATCATAAAGATATTTTGCTTGCTCTTCCCTTAACTCCTTCTTGCTTCATCCTCCTTTATCCCCTATTAAGTCCATATGAGTAGTCGATGTGAGTGTAACCTCAATCAATTGCCTTTTCCCTAGTTCAAGCTCCAACTTCTTCTCTTAGATATTTGGGTTCATGGGTTTGTTTCCCTTGTTCCTCTTCCATTTTGGAAGGGTCTTCTTCTTTGGTACTTGTTTCTCTATTATGACTCCGTTAGTGTTTGAGATCACTACCGCCCCCAAGGATTCCGCCATTTTCGATCACCTTATGACACATATTGTTTCCATGCGTCTCTTCAATCCCACCCTTCCATTCTCCTCACTTCCTCCCAAATAGTTTCTTGATCATTTCCCCCCGTTCCTTTTCATCCTTGTATCACCACCTTTCCTGTGAGTTATTGACTCAAAAAGATTTTGGCTACAACTTCCTGAACTTAGCTCCTTCTTAGTCTATTCAGTGTTCCTTGGTAGAGGGGAGGCTCTCAACCAAGGAGCAGAGGATAGGTCTTGTTCTTTTATCTCGTTGTATCCTTCTAAAGCACCTTTTTCAATCTCTTCACAATCCTTGAGTTGATGTATGATCCTTTCACACACAAAACAAAATGTTGCAAGTATATCATACTTAAAGAAGAGCTTTAAACGCCTTTCCTGATATTTTAGGATCATACCTCTCTTGTGTAGTTTTCGAAGATCCACTTTAACTTTTATTCTCATGAAATTCCTCATCATATTGGTGTCCTTAGGGTCGATTTCTTCAAACTTCCCCACAATGTCGCCTAACTGCTTCGCCATAGTCTCTGATCTCAAGTTCAAAGGAAGATCGTAGACTCCAGGCCCAAAGGTTGTTCCTCCCCTAAAACTCTTTCCAAAATCAAAGATATTTTTGTCAAAATTCCATGGTTCTCCTTTAAGCACCATCTTTACGTCTCTTTTTGTTGGAGAATCGAAAAGGAAAAGATTATTCCCCATATCTTGACCTTCAATGTTATTTTTCAGCCCCCATGCTTGGATCATCGTTTCCTTGAAAGACCTAGCGTTAAAGGGGTTATTTGGCAACAATTTTTCAACCAAAGTTCTGTGAAAAACTCCATCTCCTAACTTTTCTTCTCCATTCAACTTTATTCCTTCTTCTTCCTCAAAGAGAGAAATATTTTTTCTTAATTTTTATTATAAAACCCTCAAAAGAACTGATTAATATTCAATTAAAAACTCAATGGATTTAAGAACCTAGCAAAAGAGAAGAAATGAATAATAAATAAAGATAAAAAAATCTCAACCTTAGGTGGATATGGGGAGAGAGAAGTGAGGATGTCAATGGGGCAGGGTGGGGGATACATTCCCACCTCAATCCCCACCCTCGAATCTATTCTCCGTCCGCGTCTCAGGTCTCCGCCATGGGGGATTTTGTCCCACATTCCCGTTCCCGTGGATCCCCACGGATCCCCAAGGTTTATACGATATCCATAAACATGATTTTATTTATTTATTATTTTAAATCAAATTAATAGGAAAAATTTTAAAAATTAACCAGAACAAAATTTAGAAATTATTCATTTATGATAAATATATTATTTTAATAATATTTATTCTATAATATTGAGTGTCATAACCATCAAAATTTCGAACTTAAAATTTTTAAAATAATCATTTATATCTCACTATTTTACTAATAATACATTTATATTTTAAATTTGTTTATAAGATAAATTATATCAAATGATAAATAAACATACATAAAAATTTAAAATTATATATAAATTATGTTTATTATAGTATTTTAGGCGGGATGGAGACTCCACGGGGCGGGGCATATTTACGTCACGTTTGTCTCGAAGTGCTTCAGATAGATTTTGTTCCCCATCTTAATCTCTATGAAAGAAATTTTTTCCCATCTTTGAGAAACCAAACAGGAAATCACCGCGAAGATCTCTGTTAATGAGACAAGCGACATCCCTAAAGAGAAGGTGAAGGTTTAATCCGATAACACCATAACCAATGATAAAAATGAAGGAAACACGATAAATTAAAGAAAAAAACTCTGATTTCTCTAAAATACGAGGAATAAATGTCAAGCTGAATTTGAATTTAAGACATCAAATTAAGGGGAAAAAATCCTTTATCATGTCACTAAAGTGTTCTTAGATATGTTGTAATTTAATTATGTTTTTTTTAATTATATTAATTTTACTTTAAAATATTTTATTTTAAAATTTAATTTTTAAAATTGAAAACCAAAAACTTTTAACCGACTCCTAACATATTAAGATGTCGTTGAATTTATTATTTTCTTACCTCATTGACATAATCTACTTGTAAGTTGCATTTTCATTTTGTACCTATACTTGACTTTTAGCATAAAGTTACTATACTTTAAATTCATTTAAATATAAAACTTTTAAGTATTATTCAGACTCAATAAATTTTGGTCCACAAACAACGAATAAACACAAGTTGAAACTATTTTATCAACACTCTACCGCTTCAAAGTTTGCAAGAACAAACCCACCGTTACTGTCAACTTCAATCATGTTATCTACAACTATGAGATCGGTGACGGTGGGTGAATAAACATGTAAATCGTGCAAATTATAGGATATCTTTTTTTTCTGACCTTATATTAATATTAGGATATCTTTTATGTTGTAAAGTGATAAATAACATTATTATATTCAGATTTATTTATCAAATCATAAGAGAGAGAAAAATATATTTTGTCTGATTTAATAAAACGAAAACGATGCAGATCTTAAAATATGAGTAAAGGTTAAGAAAGAGTTACACTCTATCTTATTTTATTTAGTCGTAATAGTAAAAACCCAACAAATATTTGAGACTTGGAGCATATTTGAAGATACAATATTTTTATATGTAAATAATAGAACTGTTGACAAATTATAAGATTCGCACTCCAAGACATTTGATGTGTGTGACGAATAAAAGCGGTGATCGAACAAATGGAATTTTTTACAAAAAAATTTTTTTTAAAAAAAAAATTCTTAAATAATCACTTTTTCAAAAATTTTACTAAAATGACCACTTTTCAAACAAAAAAATTTCGCTACACAGAAGAGTAGCCACTCTGTGTGGCGCATGCATTCATTTTTAAGAGAAGGCGTCATAATGCATGATTTGTCCTCCTCTGTAAAGTCATACAGTATGACGCATGCATGTGTTTTTAGAGACGAGGCGCCACCCTCCTTAACTTGACAGTGTTTAAAAACACATACATGCGCCACACTGCATGATTTTATAAAAGAGGACAAGTCATGCAGTGTGACGCCTCCTCTTAAAAAAGAATGCATGCACCACACAGAGTGGATATTCTTCTGTGTGGTAAAAAAAATTTATTTGAAAAAGTAGTCATTTTGATAAAAATTTTAAAAAAGTGATTATTTGAGAAAAAATTTATAAAAAAAAAATTCAAACAAATGAATTCTAATTAAATAAATGTGTAATGCAGTATTAACAAAATTCCAAAAAGAAATTATGATGGTCACGTGCATGAAATTGTTTTTATATGTTGTAATTGTATTTTTATGTTTCGAATACGATAACATTTGATATATATATATATATATATATATATATATATATATATATATATATATATATATATATATATATATATATATATATATATATATATATATATATATATATATATATATATATATATATATATATATATATATATATATATATATATATATATATATATATATATATATATATATATATATATATATATATATATATATATTATAATTTATAATTATGATTAATTGATTAATAATTAATACTAACTGAATTATATATAGATTCTCAATACGCTCTTTCAAGTCAGATCGTATATATTGTATGATCTGAATTTGCTACAAATAAAATTTACTCGATAATTTTTGAGAGATTTGGAAAACATATCAGCTAATTGATTTTCAGATTTGACAAATTATGTGGTTATTTCTTCTGACAATATTTTGTCTCTTACATAGTGACAATCTATTTCTGTATTTGATTCGTTCATGAAAAATCGGATTGGATGCAATATGAAGTGTCGCTTGATTGCCACATATGAGTTTTGTGGGATGAAGGTCTCCCAATCTAAGTTATGAGAGCAAATTCTTAAGTCATGCAAGTTCTTTCGATGCTGCTGTCATAGCACGATATGCAGCTTCAGGACTTGATAGTACAATTGTGTTTTGTTTCTCGCTCCTCCATGAGATTATATTTCCTCCAATAAAAACACAATATTCAGAAGTGGATCTCCTATCTAACGGTGATCCTGCCCAATTTACATCTGAATAATAATTGATTTTAGCATCACTCTTATCTTCGTATAATAGACTTCTTTCGAGTGCATTCTTTATATCTGAGAATCTAAATAACTGCATTCCAATGAGTATCACACGAAACATTCAAGAACTGACTCATAATACTCACTGCAAAAGTAATATTTGGTCTAATGTCGGTAAGATATTGAGTCTACCCACTAAACGTCGATATCTTCCAGGGTCTTTCAACCGCTCCCCTTGATCCGGAAGAAGCTTGACGTTGAGATCCATAGGGGTATCAATCAGACGACAATCAAGCATACCGGTTTCAGTTAGGATGTTAAATTCATACTTACGTTGGTTAATTGCAATGTCTGTTGAGGGCTGAGCAACTTCAATACCTAAGAAGTATCTGAGTGGATCAAAATCTTTTGTCTGAAAGTTTTTGAAAATATGAGTTTTGATTCGTTGGATACCTTCTGTATCGTCTCCAGTAATAACAATGTCATCAACATAAACCACAAGAAAGATGTGATGACCGGTGGAGGAATGAAGGAAGAAAACAGAGTGATCTGCTTCACATCTAGTCATACCAAATTCTATCAAGAAATTTCTGAAGCGGCCAAACCAAGCACGTGGAGACTGTTTCAGCCCATAAAGAGAACGATGAAGCCGAAAAACAAGTCTTGAGTTTCCAAGAACTGTAAAACCTTGAGGTTGATCCATATACACTTCCTCCTCTAACTCGTCGTGTAAAAAGGCATTTTTAATGTCCAACTGAGGAAGCGACCAATGATTAACAGCAACCGTTGCAAGGAAGAGAAAAATTGAACTAATCTTGGCGACTGTAGAAAAGTGTCACCATAATCAAGACCAAATATCTATGTATCCCTTGGATACCAAACGAGCTTTGAAACAATCAATCTGACCATCCGATCCAACTTTCACCATATAAACCCATCGACATATCACTGTAGTTTTGTCTGAAGGTAAAGTAACAATGCCCCTAAGTTTTATTTGAATGCAATGCAGCCATTTTTTCCACCATTGCCTGACGCCAATTGGGATCAGTCATAACTTCACTTGTAGACTTAAGAATAAACACATAATCTAAAGCAGACAAAAAAGAAGCATAGGAAGTAGAAAGACAGTCATAATTTAAAACACGGGCATATTTAGGATTTGAAGTATAAGATTGAATACCTTTTCATAAAGCTATTGGGAGGTCGGGTTCAGGTGACGTAGCTGGAGGAACATTTGGAGTCAGACGTGGTGCTGGTGGATTAATATCATCTCTAACTTCCGATGGACGGGGTCTACGTCGTTGGGAGACCTGCAATGGAGGTTTAACGGGTGTGGGGATGACAGAAGGGACGTCTTGAGCATCTAAGTTACAAGTCTCATTGGGTGACAGAGGCAGAGAAAAAAGGGGAACCTTTAAAGAATGTAACATCAGAGGAAACAATGTACCATTGAAGTTGAGGACAAAAAACGATATCCTTTTATATACGTGAGTAGCCTAGAAAAATCCATTTTATAAATTTGGCAGAGGGCTTGTATTTACCTAGACTAAGATCAGGAACAAATTATGTGCAACCAAAGACGCGAAACAGAATGGTGTAGAGGTCATGTTGTGGATTCAAGATAGAGTATGTAATATGATCTTGAAGGACCGATGAAGGAATTTGGTTGATAAGGTGACAAGCTGGGAGGAGATCATCACCCCAAAAACGAGAAGGTACA